GTTGTATATCGTACAATACAAGGTTCTATGCCAGCATATCATGAGCCGGGTTTTAGGCCCATGTGCACATGGGCCATGGTATCCTAATCTGATTTGTTTCACTGTGGATCAGGCAAGTTGCCCAGAAGGAGATTAGAACTGATTAGTTCAATAAACTGCAAAATGTGTTTTGTTTGTATGGCCATATAATGCTATTGTGTACCAACCTATGGATGGTCTATCTACACTATATTCAGTATGATACATATAGTTTGTGGATATAACGCACCGTAAAAAGATAATACAAGAGACTAAAAGCCAATTATGTTGCTGATAGATTTGTTTTAATTTGTTATCAGATGCCATAAAAACAAAGTGAAACGTCATGAATACATCATGCGCGTCTATTGGCAATCACTACAACACCAACTGGCTCCTATGCTCCTTGCTCTATGCAAGATGGTGGTGTTGGTATCCAGGATATTTTGGCTTCATTTCTGGATAATGGGAGGTAGTCTGTCTGCTTAACATCAACCTTTAGCATTGTAATTATGAGCATTAGCATGCTGATATGAGTATTTGGCTCAAAGCTGCAGATGTTTCTCATGAAGGCACTGATGTGAAAGACCAGACTAAGTATGACACTAGTGTGTAGCGTTTTCTTATGTTCTGATCAGAGTTTTGACCAGAACTTAATAAATGTTTCCTGTGGGGACAATATTACAAAATAGGGTGTATGTAACTCGGATATAAAATTCTCCAGCTTTTTCGGCCTCTTCCTCGTTCCAAACCAAACATGGAGTGTTTGATCTGAGTGATCGAATGAAGGTGTAAAGACATCTCTGCTACCAAACATGGCAGTGCCTTTACTTCCCTGAGTGGTGCTTTCACTGTCCAACAAACGTCCACATCCAGTGCCGAAGGCTTGACATATTGTTTGTCTTTGTGAACCAGTCTTGACCCACTCCATTAAACTATCGTCGCTAAAAGATTTTCTCAAAGATATAGTCAGCTGTAATTGAAAGTGATAGAGGCTGCATGAGTGTATTTTTAGTATTCACCAGACCAACAAATGGCTCAGCCATGTTTCTTCATGTTTTCAGCTGGACCCATTTTCCTCATCGGGGTTCAAAGAGGCTTTCTTGATCAGCAGTGCTTAACATTGTAATAGTGGGATCCTTTTCATGTGGTTTGGAGGAAAAAACTGTTGTTGTGTTTTCCCACTGCAGTTTAGCCCCTATTATTTGTGTAGTAATTACCCTGTGTGATTTACAAATTCCTCGCATGAACTCTTAGTGCAGTTGTGGTTGCTCCGTCGTGATCAGTTATTCTCTTTCTTTCTACACACACACACACACACACAAACACACACACTCTCTTTCTCTTAAATTCCAATTTCTTCTCTCACCAAAGCCGTTTTAAAACATGAATTAAAAAATTGTGTCCAAACATTTTTCTTAGTTTGCTTTTCACATGTGAGGAATGCAGCAGGAGATTGTCCAGGTCAGAGACTGTTGACACAAAGACAGGAAAATGTCCAGAACATTCATGCAATGATACTTGGTCAGAGCCTGCAGGAGGCAGGACATGACATATACATTTTTGTTTCCAGCACCGGCGTTGGCCATAAAAAACTCTTTCAACATTTTTGGCATCTTCTACATGTGTGACCCCTATTTTTCATCCTGAGATATATGTATACTTTTTATTTTCACTTTTGCTTCCCTCATGTGTTAGAAATGTCATCAATGCAGGCAACCACTCACTGGGAGTTTCCAAACTGTTTCCCTGCAGTTTTCTCACTCTGACATTTTCCTGACATTTGGGGGGGTAGCAGGAAAAGTTATGGAAAATGTCTCAAGCAGCTTACTTTGACATTTGCGTTCTTACAAATAAGAACATTTCAGAGAGCAGCTTAAGATTGTTGTCGGACTAAAATGATACATTCTCTCTTCATGCATCACATTGGAGCACTTCCCTTGGGTTTGTAGTGCATCTTAGAGTTGTTAGTGTCTAACCATTTTTGTCTTTTTCCATTTTTTGCTTTGGTCCGGCTATGAAGGAAAAACAACAATAATCAACATACAGTTTTCTTTTTTCATCTTTTTATTTATAGTAAAATCAGTTAGAAGAAAAAGAAAAGACTTGGTTCATTCTTCTATAAAGGCTGTTTGCATCAGAAAGTTTGGCCAGTCTGCTCCAACAGTGAACTTGAAGCCTGTCATAGAGTCTGACGCCACATGACATTATTGGCAATAGTTGCTGAGGTCATTTGTTCTCCCTGACAGATGGATTGATGCTGAGAGGAAGTAAGGCACACCCTCCAAATACGCATGCTGATAAGTGACCTCATTACAGCTCCACTGGGCATTTTCTTTCTTACAGAGCACCATGATGATGACTGGTTCCTCAGGAGACCTCAGCTTTTGAGCGGTGCCAAGCTCTTGGACTTTCTGAGAGTTTTCCTTTACTTGGCTCATGGCACACAATCAACAGGACTATCTGGCTGAAACACTAACACAGAAATCAAACACATCTTATTTCCCTCTAGCTGTTTACTTGCACATTCATTGCTTGTAAATGTTTTGTTGGAGTGGACTGAAACAAAGGCAAAGTGGAGACAGCAGGCCTTTGACATGTTATGTATGTCTCCTTTGTCTGCCCCTCACTCATCCACATGAAATACATGCAAACACCCCTCATAAAAAGTACTCTAAACCCCAATGTTAGCCATAATATGTTGTGTCCGTGCCCAGAAGTGTTCAGACTTGGGGGACTTTGGGTTGCAGAGTCACAGCTGTAAGTAATTCTCTCCCTCGGTTTCCATCTCTCCCTCATTCTCTCTTCATCCTCCCTTGTGTCTGGAGAATGTAAACATCAAGAGGGAGGCCAAGTCTCTGCCATCACAACCTTTCATACATCAGAGATGGAGACAGGGCTGCTCTGACCAGGCTCCTGAGCCTGCAGCATTCTAATGTACACAGAGGGTAAATGTGTCTTTTGGGTTCGGATTTAAATGACAAACATTTTATCGAGGGTCTCACTCTCTCCTGGAGGTTTTCCAGCCCTACATCAACACTTCAAACATCCATCTCATCTTGGGCGTCCCTTGCTGTGCTGGCTGTGAAACTCACAGCATGGATGCAAAGCTAACAATCAAAACCATTCTTTCTTTATAGCATCTTTTATTGCTGGTGACGGGGCCTCAGGGTGGTGATCTGGGCCAGTCTGTTGTCCCGGGCACAATATCTCAGGAACAACTCCTGGGAGCTATTACTGCTGTGAACTTTGTTGAAAATACTTCTGGTCCTTAAAACACTTTTCCTTACAACCACCACAACCTTTTGTCTGATGAAGGGATTGTCTTAACTTTATTTCAGATGTTCCAAAATCTAATTTCAGAAAACATCTCTTGGAGTTTGAATAATGACACATTGACACATTCTTGTTCTACAGAGGATGAACTCTTTTAGTTTGGGATTCTCCTTTATTTGAACATTGCATGAGCTTTACTCCATCAGGTGATATTTGAAACACAAATACTTACATTTTATTGCTGGATTTCCAACAAAGCTCTTTTGATATCGGTGGTTCTCAGAGTAAGACTTTGGATCTTGTTGCAGCTAATCTTGATGCTTGCACATGATAACAATGCAATAGGCTGACTGCTAACAAAGCAAAGATTGGGGTTAGGTTAATTGGAGACTGTCCAGGATATACTTTGCCTCCCGTCCCCCTCACAGGATAAGCAGTCAAGATATCGGATGGATGGAATAGAAGAAACCTGCTCCACAGATGAAGAACCTTTTACATTTAATGATTCGACAACATGTCCCATACTAAAATCCTGACCTTCCCCCTTCAGCAGCAGAAGTCTAAGAATAGTTTGATGTTGTTGAGTTCGTCCAACAACTATTCTGGGGAGTTATGGACATTGGCCACAGGTCAGGGGGACTCTCGTATTGTTTTCATTATGATGACACAA